TCCATAAAAGCCGGATACACGTATCACACTTCTTCCTTTTTACATATATATATATATATGTGTGTGTGTGTGTGTGTGTGTGTGTGTGTGTGAGGACTACAATAAACCCATCAGATGCTTCATTCTTCGTAATGAAATGATCTAACGCACTAAATCAAACGAGACCACGCTCACGTTGTATTTGAACAAGGCCGATTAAACTTTTCCGCAATAAGTATGGAAGCGATCCATGACTAACAGTGCGGATTCTCGAAAACACATGACCTCAATCGGTCAGGCAATATGAGTAGCGATACCACGAATCGACCGGTCAACTGTCACGTCGATGCTCACATGTACGCTCGAAACGGTGATTACACAGTTGTAATTATACTTTGAAACAATCACCCAGAACGAAATGTGACTGTGAGTGTCAATCCTCGCATACATATACACTCTTGCTCTATGTTTCAGTTTTTTTCTTTACAACCATTAACCGTGCACTTTCGTGCGCCAGTTTTGTTTGTTGTCTTTTGCCCACCGGTGAATAATTGTTCTGACCGTATTTGATGGACCATAGATTTGAGCTGACGGTATGCATTACATTTAAGTTTTTTCTTCAACTTCTGTCGGATTGTAGTTTTACTACATATACTAAATTGTATTTTTTCACTATTTTTTCCTACGGAAAGATAAGAAATTGATTTGTTCACAATCCAAAAATTACGTATTCTTTCGGTGAGGAAGTAAAACAATGACGGATAGGTAAATATGCACGCAGTGAATGGCAGACATCAATTCACGGTGATGGAATAACAAGTATAAACTCAATGTGTCGGAAACATCTGTTTCATTTGAAAATTTAACTATTTTTTGTTCATAGCTTGTATTTCTTTCATTCTTTTTGGAATAGATTATGTCGGTTTTGCTTCACTGCAATCAAACATACACAGTCAAAAGTTCCGTTCAATGCGATTTCGGTTCTTTAACTTATGGCTTCTGTTCTGCTTGCATTATAATGAGCCACGACAGGCATTCACGGCCTGATGTGTCTGATACCTTAGCTTACCCTTAGCTGTCCGGTCTATCACATTCAACAACTTAGATGCCTAGTGCTTGTTTCACACTACTCTCGTATGCGCCAAATCGCATTGGTTAATTGTGCAATCCAACGACTTTGAATCTTGTGAACACCTGTTGCGCTTTGGTGACGATGCCTGTGTAGTGATTCGCCAAGGTTGAATAGGTTATCATCTGTGGTCGCCTTTGAGGCTTCCTTTTTTAAAGTGAAATTTCAGTCAAATATCCAAACATGCGCACTGAACCCCGAATCCATTATTGGTCTTGTATACCATTCCAAACGATAATCCATCCCCTTCTTAATCAAAAGGCAAGATTTGTAAGAACATGCTCAGTAATTGTCGAATTCAGCTATTTTCTTCCCAACCCTTGCTATCCCGGTCAAAAGGAATCCACTCAAACTGCCCACAAATACTAAACAATCCAGGGACCAATAAATAATGCATTCCCCAAGTTTTCCACTAAACTTTTTAAAAAGTCTTGAAGCTCCAAAAAAAAACACGAATTACTAGTGTGATCGGAGTCATTCTGATTGCATATAACAATTAAAAAGATCGTCACAAAATAACTCACAATAAACCATTGTCATTTTCTAAACAGAGAGACTGGTCAATCAGTGAATAAAATCTGAGTAAGTTTAAACTTATCAATAAGTTGAAAGTTGAGTTCGACATGAAATTACTAAGTCTTTTATCATGTAAAAAAGTAAGTTGGGCCGGGTTTTACCTGTGGCATAAATTTCTTCACAAATTCTAAGTCCTTCTCGCAGTGTCAGTCCACCAGGAACCGGTGTCCCTGTGCTGGGAGCCAATGACGGGTCCATGACATCAATGTCGATGCTGAGGTGAATCGGCCTTTCAAGTCTGAATGGGACCAAATGAAGATAAAAGCACTATATGGTCCATTCGGTTCAACTGATTTGTGTCACTCATGTGCTAGAAAGAGATTATAACCGCAGCAGAGTAAGTTCAGTTTAACTTCAAGTAGCGGCATTAGACCATCGTCAGTCATGGAATTGTCTAAACAGCTCACGCAAACCTGACGTGAATTTGTACTTCAGGAAAATAAACGCCACATTACTCACTTATACCACAAGATCGTTCGAACCGCAATCTGAGAAAAGAAGAGTTCGTCAATACAACAGTATTTAGTAAGTGAGATTCTGGAATCCCGGTGTGGATTATATTGGTCGTTTGCGCCACGCTTTCTGCATGCTATTCAATTACCAACATCATTTTTTGCGTGCTTGAAGTGTGGGGGACGCTTGTACCTTCGAACGACTAATGGTTCAGAATTCTCTTTATATTAGCTCTCCATGCAAGTGAACGGTTATTGTTCGCCAAGATCATCAAATACCGCAGCATGGGCCGTCACCTGAAACAACCGAGCTGCGTGTTCGAGAGGCTTTAAAACAGCTGTCAGTCTCATCATAGTAAAAAGTGATAAAGTGCAATGCTAACACCTGTCGAACCAAATCAAACCTTTGATAACCCTCACAACAGAAGGGTCTTAGACCAGTTTGTTGCTCATGACCAAATGACGTTCTCCACCGATCCGTGACTAACTGGCTCAGCAGCCGTGCAGCCGCGTGAAGGGAGTCGCCGCTCTTTGGAACTACTACGAATAATTTGCAAAACTATATCATATGAATAGGATCACAGAATATTTAGGCTTACAGAAGAGCTTACCTTGGATTGACAGCTTCAATAGCTTTCCGGATCACTGCTTCTATGCCCATTCGGTCGATGTCTGTCATGGTGAAATGTTGTATCCCATTCTTTCGCATATCATATCTAAAGTGCAAAGTTGTTTCGAGTGGCCGGATTAGTAAACGATTGGAGAAAAGCTCATAATGCAAAAAACCGTCATCATCTTACTGAGGGTGCACTGTCACTAGTCATAATTAATGTGCTCCTCAATAGTTACCGATTCAATGGCTTACTAACAAACGTCCAACATAAACAGATGTGAAACACTCCGGTTCGTAAAAAGAGGATTTTTACTCTCAGAAACATTTACTAATAATAATTGCCCATCCTACTTTGGCATACGTGACCATCCAATCACTGCACATATCTGCTTTTTCGTGCAGTCCAGTCTAGATATCCAAAAATCCAAGAATCTTGTGAATACAATAGAACAGCAGGTGTTTGGATAAATAGAACGAAATTCCCGGAACACGAAGCCATTGATGATGTTTAGAGTGAAATCATCTAACATTTTCCTTTCCGCTACATATACCAAAAGATGGGTAACAAGGAAAAAACAATAATGTGATACAACTGAATAAATTTTATGAACAACAGAATTCAAATAATTGCAGAATGTCGTGTTACTCGGTTGATCAAGATATCCGTTGGCATTTTGTATTTTACCTTTATTTTGCAATAAACAAATACTTTGAACCGAAGCACTGTGAAAAGAATGTAGCCTTTCGGTAAATGATAGTACACTCTGTGTGTGGGGGAAGGGGGTATATTTTACTGGTCCTAAGTGAATGTGATAACATGGAAAAAAACCTTTCTATTCTGTAGTCAATCATTTATAGTCAATCAGGATTTGTTGATGCAAACCATATTTCAAATTATTTACATGCGCAGCTAATAGAATACTTTTCTTAATGATGAGATCAGGTCAATGAATTGTGAATCGAAAGGTGTGTGTATACTGGCCCTTGATGGATAAGCTCCATTCTTCACATGTTTTCCAGCCTGAGTGCATTTGAATACTGTATCATTGCGCATGATTTTCCAATTAACCGTGGATCGAATGAAACCGCATAGTTACAATGACTGCAGTTAAATTATGATAACTAACAACTTACGTCCTGGGAACTGAAATAGTTAATTATATAAAATCTAATTAGGTTAGACCTAATTTAAAAGCGGGTGTCATTATTAGTGCCTGCAACTTAGCTTTACTGTCAGCGAGAACATTTTGACCACAGGCGTTAACCTGGAATATGTAACAAACAGCTACTCGAACAGTTCGAGTCCCACACCAACCACCAATAAACCAACGGTACTAGGTAGAATTAGATCATAAGGATTTTTTTAAACGGCTTTAATTCTACTGTACTCGCACATCCCTTGACTTTAAGAGAAAAACTATGGTCTTGCATCACAAAAATGTAATCATTGTCCACAGATGGCAAATACGTGAGGCATATGTTGCTTCAAAGGAAGATCAAATAATAGTTAAAAGAAATGAAACATTACTCACACTTCGTGCGGATCAATATCCCGTAGTCCAATATAGACAATATCCTGTGCGTGTAGACTGAAAGCGAGAGTCCGGATAAAAGTCAGAAATTGAAAGAAGAACATGGAAAGCGAAATAGGAATGCGTTGATTTTTATGCATAACGGTTGTAAAAATTGATTCTCTTTTTGTAACATTTTTTATAATGGCTACGATCTCCCTGATTATTCTCATATGAACAGTTCAGTATAACAGACCGAAAAACCTTTCTGAGATACAGTAATCAATTGAAATGACCTAGCCTAGAACTGGTCTATTCTCGTCGGAGATTTTAAGTATGCTATTCGGAGGTCGGAATGTGTGATTTTTCACTTTTTTATAGAACAAGTCATTATAATACCCATTATTATAATTATTTCTACAGTAACACTTTATTCAATGCATGGGAAATGATAAACTTCATAAAAAGTTAATCTTCCTCACTATTTATTCAAGAAGTCAATCAAAACCTCTAATTGTGTGATCGTCCATTCCTCGCTGACCAACCAGAAAAATTCAGAGATTTGCATACTCTGTTTTAGCTAATTTTTCAGTGCTATTCCAATCACACCCCTTTTCTCCTCGGTCTCATGACTTGGGAAACAGGCAAAAATGAGGCTGATATTCCTCCTCTGTTCACAGATTTTGTACATGTCAAATGAGAAAATAGTTAATTCCTGATGAATTATGTCATGCTAATGATCTGGATAACAAGTGCACAGCGCGTGTGTGCGATCGTACGTCGTCATTCATTTATATTGTGACTTACTAGTTTGAAGAACGAATGCAATTAGATATCTGTCTAAATAATGAGAGTGCAAATAGCCTCATTCATAGAACAATTTACCTGACGGATTTCAGATCATGGAGAGAAGTCTCTGAAATTAATAAACAAAATAATGGGAGCGCTCCGTGCTTTTCTCGTCACATCCATTGGACAAGAATATCAAGTAAACAGAATGGTGACTAGGCTTTTTACAGGGAGGCTGTAATATGCCGAGCACTTTGGAAACAAAAGATTAGATAATGCTCACTAGCTTGGCACAGACTGTTTCCGTCGTGCAGTGTGAACTATTTCTGGAACCAGTCAGAATTATTAACTAATATGGAGCACATTGTCCGTGTGCACATCCGTTTTTGTGACTATGTGCAATACACACGGTAACTGCCAGCTGTCACTGATCCATATCATCATACACTGCAATGAAACCACTCCCTGATGAGTTCATGTGTTTACGTTCACAGCCTGATACACCGTACAACCCCGTTTTTCTCACCTATCACCATGAATAGATTCAGCAATATGAGGATGGTTTACATTCGATCACGAGACTTGATCCANGATCCAATGCACGTGTTCTTCACTCAGCGGATATACGACGGATGCATTATCCGTTTGTCGAAACCGGAAGTTAATGTGCATAATTTACCACCTGTTACTAATACACAATACACGATGCTATTTTTCGAAACTGGAACACAGTCCCATCGCCTTGATGTGATGCGCGAAGAATAAGGATTGCGGATATTCTGCGAGGCTTCAATCTGTTACAGTTGTTGTGAAACTGAGAACGCGTCCAATAAGTATAACAAACTTCGTGCAATTGCGTCCATGCATGGGTTTGAGTCCCACCGAGGCTACTGAACTGTTCACAATCGCAACATAAAACAAACTTCGTTGTCACATTCTGTTGCTTCGGAAAATATGTCAACAGGATAATCTGCTTCTATCTTAAGGACACACAAAGCGCTTGTCGGTCATCTGAAACGGAAAATAATATCATTATTCTTGTCCCGAACTCACAGGTCTATTTGAACGTACTTGTCTCAGGAAGCTTACCATGGTTCGATGGGTTCAAGCTCTTTGATATAAGGCACCTCTTCTTGGAGTTCGCTCATAAGGAAGGCTAGGGGCNTAGGGGCATTCCATGCATATTGCCTGTGGATGAAGTCATTGGTGTATTTAGGTCCGCATGAGCATCGACCCATATCACGCATGCATCTGGTTGAGCTCTTCTGTGCCCCAGAATACTGCCAGAAGCCATACTATGATCGCCACCCACCAATACCAGAGGCGCCGAACGTTGATCATCCCAACAAGTCGATAAAGGAGCGTTTAGAAAGGCTTCCACTCGGTCGGCAATTTTCAACGTTGTTTTAATAAAACTTCGTGGATTAACCATTCCAAAAATTTTCTCGTCCTCTTCCTCGACGCTGTCTTCCAGATCCAAGTTTCCGTGGTCATTAAGATGGACTCCTACAATAACAGTTAACAAATAAACGATTCACAATGACTCGTGCTAGTTAAGAACGGTTTGTTTGATCGATTGGTAGTTCGGTCTTCTATATGATAAAAATAAAACCCAAAACATCCCGTAAAATGGCTGAATAAGAATGGCACCAGTTAATCTAGTATGTTTAGTAAACACTTGCGGAAGATAAACCTTACAAAAAAATTACTGCCCTCAATAAATTTCTTTAGTGTTTATAACCGTTTGCGTCACCATTATCTTTTTGAGGAACTCGAATAAAAGTCAATGCAAAATTTAATTAAACCGTTTCTAATTTAGGCGAAAGTAAGTGAAAATAATCACTTTTGCTGCTTCAAAAAATACTGCATTACCTTAGGTGGCTTATTTAGGTATCTCTACTGAAAGGAATCATCACCATAACGACCCGTAAACGTGCGAAGTTTGCGTTTGACAAAGCGATTTGACCTATCAGCTCTTGCCAGCATTCTGACACCACTCGTGCTCGTGCCATCAGCGACGACCTTGAAGTGGCCATCGAAACGCAAATGATTCAATTGAAAGCAGTATTGATCATAGTATAACAGAAGAAACCTACTGCCATCGATAAATCGGGGAAACACCAAATGTTGTGAGATGCATTGAAATAGTTCAATGATGCAGCCGCAGTTGATATATCATAGCACTGCATTTGGAGCGAAAATAACAGATGTATCTATAAGCAGGTCTGTGAGAAAACTGAGAATCTTAGAACGTGGAAAAATTAGTCCGCACTCAAGTGCACCCGGCTCAAGGAGGAGAGCATGTGAACTCTATGGATATCAACAGTCACAACCAGTGTAGAGGTTTCACAGCGAAAGAAACACCACACTGAACTATGAAGGCCCTGAACTGGAGAATGAAAGTTCCCCTCTGTTACGTACAATCAGTGGAAAACATCATTCACATAGTTTGAGAACGTGATTCCTCTCACATGCAACTGTACAAAAACATTCAGAACAGTTGCGACCATGTATGTTCGATCTGGTTTGAGTGGTTAGCTGTGTCTGACTTATATGACCCAATTATCACCAAAATTGTCGTATAAGATTGAAGATAATCATGATATTGAACGAAATTTCATTGCTTTTCTTTGACTGTATTTCCAGTGAGATCGCTGGATGCGCACGGATGATAATATTTAGAACTATACACAGCTCAGTCTACTGATATTTACTTTGCACTGCTCCCCCGGAACACTGAATTCTTGGAAGCATCCAGCTCTAATCGTGGATTCCAAAATCAATGGCACTAAGATGAGTTTGGTTACCGTCCACACGTAAAACTCCTTTTAATGTAATCCCTAATTAGGAAGCAGAAACTCGGAACAGTTTAAAAGGACTTGCTAGCTCGTGAGAACAGTAGTCTCGTTCTGCTTGTATGTATTACCTACGTGATAACGAATTACCTTCGCGGCATCTCATAAGTGAACAAAAGTTAGTCCTATTCGTGATTTACATGAAAAGCTATTATTGGTCTTTGTTCACAATAAATCATTTTCACACAATGCCCCGCGTTGAACGATGTAAGATATGACCTGTATGGAAGAGAGACTTGATTAGGAAATGAGCAGAAGAAAGCGAAATTATACCGAGGGCAGCGTCAATGGTCAAATGCTATCTCTACCGACTGAACAAAAGTTTTAAAAAAACAGCCTCCCACAATAAATTTCCCGTAAGTTTATCATTCAATGACTACATACATACAAATATATATCAATGAAAGAAAAAGGAAACCTAAACGGACTTTATTACAAAAGCTTAGTATTTGAATTTGTTCATTTCAAAATGCAACTTTGACCGTTTCTTTCAATAGTACCAGAAGATAAAGCAATACTCACCAATCACTGACAGTATCTTGAAAATATCCGAATTTCGAATGAGATCGGGACCAAACTGAGTGCCGTTTATTGGTTGACCTTTGTACACGGGCACTCCTAACAAGTTGGCATGCCGAAACAACGGGACTGGACAATCTCGAGTGAACAGTGGATTACGAAGATCTATACAAGATGAAGTATAAAATGTGTTCCTTAGTTTTCCGTTTTTCAATTTCGGCAAACCTGCTGAGGAATTGGGCATCGTTTCACTGGTGCTCCGCAAAGAGGATTATGCGCTCGCAAGCGTCACGTTTAAGTGGAGGTAATTTTATAGTAAGTTTAACCGGTGGCTGCAGTGGCGCTGGTGGGGTGGTGGTTATTTGCGGTTCCGTCCAATTGTACGCATGTCTGTGTCTGTTTGTACAAGTGCGTGCGTGCATGCGCGCGTTCGTGCGTACGTGTCCGTATTGGTGTGTACGTGTAGGCAGATGAGCAAAACGAAATTACCGTTTGACACTTTGACAAATGTACACCCTATACCGGTGTAGTTGTATTACCAGTAAACGCTGTAGCCTGATAAGTGAAATTAGTTCAATCCTGCAGGATTTTCGATTGTCCTGAGACAAATTATTTTAATTCTTTTCGTTATCATATACCTTTTTGTGTGGATATGATATTCGAGCTTAGTAGGGGGAACGGTTGGAAACAAAACTCCTTGAAATATATTCAGTTGGACACATAGATAAGGTCATATAGGTCGTTTCCAATGTTTATTATAGAATGTATTGGGTGTTGTTTTAAACCATGAAATGTAATTTATTGTCATTAACGAATAACAAAATGTATATGCAGGTGAAATCCGTCGGTTGCAATCAACCGTGCCACATTCATAAACTATTAAGACGCCATTGCAAGGTAGGGCGGAAGGGATCCGAGTCAACTGTTTTACCAGTTGAAGCGAATCATCACCAACGCCCAGCAGTAAAATACTGTGAAGGTAACTTAGCTGATCACAGTCAAACTCGCCGTGGGCACAAAGTAAATACAGGGGTGAATGAGCAGGATGCTGCGAGGGCTAAACCGATTAGAACGCATACAAACAACCTCTAAGAAAATATAACAACAACAAAACCATTTTTGTATGAGAGTAATAAAGGATTTGATTTGTTTCTATAATGAATTCATCGTGTAAATGCGGCGTAAATTAAAAAGCTGGGAAGCACTTTACGGCTGTTTTGACTTGGTTGAGTCTCATCAGTAATGCGAACTGGGGATCGAACCCTGGACCCCACAAACAGAACGCAAGCATACTACCTACTCGGCCGCCGGGCAGCTGATCTGACCCTTTCTCATTTCGAATGTAAACGATATAGCACAACCCATCTACTCGAGCTTGCTGCGAGTAGCGGTCTTAGCTCATCTCAACACTAGCTCT